AAACAAAATAACCACCGAAATGAAAACCACCCTTAGACTGTATTTTAATAGTAAAATTGTTTTTAAATTCTTCACTATATACATAAAATGTATTTAAATTTGTGTTGTATTTATATATATATATATTTATAAAAAAAACATACAAGATTTTGAAAACCTTAAAATCATTCACCTAAACAATATTCACCTCAACCTTCAGGGTCAGCAAGGCAATACTTGCCTATAACATTATGTTCAGTTGCAGTCGCTTGATTCAGAAATTTCCCTGATTGCTAAACAGACGCCATTCACTTTGTTTCTCAGTGCAAACTGTACAGTAACTTACTGTTCTCAGCCCTCTGTAAGACTCGGGTTTCATCTTATTTCCATAATACTTCTGACACCCATTTATGGCTAAAATTATTTTAGCTATTTTACAACGTTAGCCTATATAGTTTCCCCCTCTACCTACCTCAAGCCCTCCCCCCACCCAAAAAATGTAAGACAAACAATCATTCATGCATGTTTCTGTCACACAGGGATCAATGGACATTTAAGTTTAGAAGCCTAGACTCTAACAGTGTTTAAAAAAAAACCTAAGTGAATAATTTTAGTGCAAAGTGGACTACACAGTTTACATCTCAGCTAGAGTTCTTTACAGATATTTTAAACACATTTAATTCTGCACATCAGATTAGGTTGCCTGACACTTTGTTCTAACTAGCCAGTTGGAATAAGGAAGTTAGAAGGATTCTTGTGGGTTTCCTTTTAATAAAAAACTAAAGCCTATTCATAATCAGGTGTTGTTTGGGGGTCAAACTGTACAGAGCCTAGCACAACAGAGTCCTGGGTCTCAGCTAGGGTTCCTATGTGCTACAGTAATACAGATAAATATTATTATCTGATTCACATCCATAACTGATGGGTTTACTTTAACAGGAGTCACAAATGAGCTCTGATTTTTAACCAGGCCAGTGCTTTACTTGCTGGACTACACTACAGACTTTGCAGTGAATTTGGAAGCAAGCATAACATTTATACTTACAATTTCCATATCGACAAAGGAAAAGCGTGCACTGAAAACCAAAATCCTGCAATTCTTAGACAAGTCTCCACTTAGACTAGTGGTAGCCTTATCAGAGGGAAAAAAATGTCAGATTAAAAACCAAAAATTGATCAGAGCCAAGAACATCAGTCTGCCACAGTGACTATAATAAGCTATGAAATACAGTACAAGGAAAAACAAAAAGTCACCTGAACAAATAACCCAGAGAGACTTCATAGTTATAATGATTTTACCACTTTTAAGAACTCAACATATTAAATATTTATTAAAAATAAACTGTTTCCAAATTACCTATTTACAGTACAAAGAACAGTACTTAATACATGTGCAACAGAAAGTAAAGAAAATTGGTACTCATCTGGAAGGACAACACTCTAGGCATAATTTAAGTGACATGAACACAGGTTCACCTTTTTAAAATACCATACAGTAAAAACCAGTAGGATGATATTGGCAACACCAGAAAATAAAGCACATATTGTCCAGATTCAGATTATATAAACTTGAGATAAACAACCGGGAGATAAGGGGAGAAGGAAGAAACATAAAGATGAAAGGAAGAGATGCTGTGGTGTTTGCATTTTGGAGATCGAGAAATGCAGACACGCTTCAAAAAATAGTCCTTGTTGGCAAAACGAGCCATTCACATATTTCTTGCACATTTTAAAGTCATACTTTATCAAAAACTGGCAGTAGCTTCTTCACTCATAGAAAATGAGAATCTTCACTTTTAGATTTTATTTTCAAGCCTTGCATGGTTTTATTTGGGCAAGGAGATGACTGCAATGTAACAGAAAGGTGCGATGTCACTTTTCTAAAATGCAACAGCTGCCAAGTTTTAAGGAAAAATGTGCTCTTCTCCCCCACTTAAATTGAAAAGTAATGATCATTTAGGAGTTACCTAAATTATAGCAGCATGAAATCTAATGTATCTGCAGCATCTGTGAAGCCACAAAAATCAAGAACTGGCACCTGATCACTGAACCATGGTTCCAAATATTTGGACATGTCGTTTTTGTAAGAGGTCAGTGTATTTTCTTATCAGTGGAGTAAGTACATTAGTTAGGATAGCCCTTTCCCCTCCCCCTTTCCTTCCCCTCCAAAACAGACTGATCAAGTCTATCTATAAACTACATGGGACAGCTGGGACGATTTATAGTTTAACTGATTGTTAGGCATGAATCGGTGAAGCTCGCTTTTTCTACAGCAGGGATCGTAATAGTAAGCATTGAGGCAAGTGTCACATGAGACTTTTGAGCAAAACGTGCAAGTGTTTGCAGCTCCAGATCGGTTACAAAAGCCGCAGCGCGAGGTGCCTGAAGGTTTGGATTTTGAACTGAATTGAGCAGCTCTCTCTTGACTCTGAGTCTGTGATGTGTACTGAGATTTCTCCCTTAAAGCAGACGCAGGAGACAAGCCATCATTTGGAAGTGGTTTGATCGAATAGGTGCTCTGTTTCATTGCTGGGTATTCCTGCCTAGAGTTGAACAGATTGTCACACTTTTGGCAAACAGAAGTGCCACAAGGTACGCCACAGTTTTGGCACTTGAGGGAAGCTGTCTCTTTGGCTAGGTGGGTACGTTTGTGGTAAACAGGGTTGGCATCATTTTTTAACAGCCATACATCAGGCTTAATAGCTTCTTGTCTTTTAAAATTTAGCATACTTCTAGAATCGGGATCAGTATATAAATCTAAGTCCTCTTGAGCGGAAAAATAGGAGCTGTAAGGGACATTTGTTCTTAGCATGCCATTGTGATGAGATGAAGTTGGCAAGAATTCATCTGAACACCCGTGTGGGGAGCTCGACATTGTCAGAAGAGAGGGTGACGGACGGATAATTTCATCTTTAATGTCATCTTCCGCATCAACTAAAATTGGTTCTTTCCTGAGACTCAGTGAGCTCATCAAAGGTGGTTTCTTACTTTCCCAATAATTATCGTATGTGTCCACTGATTTAGAAGGCTTGCTCACCTTTGGCTTGAAATAATCTTTAGAGGCCCGTTCACTCGCTGATTTCTGGAGCACCATTCGTGCCATGGAAGTGTTTAAGTTTTCTTTGCACTCTGCACGCCGTTTCATGGCTTCTGAGCAGCCTCTAACATCTTCATTGCTATTTTTTCGTTCATTTATGACATCAATCTCTGAATAACCTTTATCCTTCACTTGCAAGTGAATTTCAAGAAGCTGCTCACATTCCACTTTGGCCAAAAAGAGTTCAAATGAAACCATTTTCACTTGAATGGCATCAACCTGCTCTTTGAGCTTATACATTGTTCCCAGTTCTTGGACATAGCCCATGTAGTTCAAAATCTGCCTTACATCATCTTCAGTTAGAGCAGACTTTACATAATAAACAAAGGGTCCAGTGTAGGTCTAAGGGGGGTGGGGGGGGAATAAAAGGAAAACTAGGTTACAAATTCAGTGGTGGACTAGATGTTGAGATAATTCAGTGACAGATACTATATAATTAAATAGAATAATAACGACAGCGAACACATGCAACTGCCATGGCAAGATGAACTCCATTTCTGCATCCCTCCTGTTCAGCAGATGGAAATTCCGCATGAGGCAAATTCAAAGTAGGAGAGTTTTCATTCAAATTGAAATCCTGATTAGCATAATGTCCTCCCTGTTGATTTAAATCACTATGCTATACACTGACATTAACTTTTAGGCGTACCAGACACGTTTGCATTTACAAGCAAGTCTACCATGAGCGGTTAAAAGGCAGAGATTTCATGTATTGCCCCTGGACAGGGGCTAGCTAGAGATAACAGGAACTCGGAATTACTGCAGGACTACCAAAGTCCTCTTCAATTCAGCTTTAAATATACTTGAGGTGCGCACTTTTTTGTGTACTGTTACAATGCAAGTTCAAATGTCTGTTTTATTTAATTTTATATTAGGTCAAGAACTTCCACTAAAAAAAGCCCCAAAAACAAAGATACGAGTTTGTGCGAGTTGAAATATCCTTAGCTTCTGGCATACCTGAGGTATGTGTTTAACCCAGTTCAAACTGTTTTGGATTGCAGGCAAGAGTGGACTGCCCATCACATCTTTGTATAGAACAGGTGCTGGGTCCACAGTGCACAACCAAAGTCAATATCGGCAGTGCATCCAGAGATATCCTTGATGGATCAGCCGACATTTCAAAGGCCAGTACTTAAGCATGATGATGAAGATTTATGGAGAGATTTTGAAGAAAGGTAGTTTCCCCTTGGGGAAACAGAGAACTCTCAAATGTTCTAATCATGTTCAAATTCTCTGCTAAATAGTGTCTTTTTAAGAAAAACAAGCAAAACTACCCATCACTAGTGCACACAACCTGCAAATGACTTTAGACACCTATACCAGTAGCGTTTTTATCCAGCTTTCAAGTCTCAAAACTGTTCTCGTAAGTCACCTCCAGCATTCATTACTGAAATGCTGCAGCAGTTTTGAATAAGCATATAAGAACAGGTAAAAGGCAAAATAGAAAAATCAACAGCAGAAAACTCGCCGTCTGACTTCCAGCACCCAAGCTGAGCAATATACAAGTTCCTACTTTTCCCTCTGAGATCCTGGCGTAGGTAAATAATTTGAAAGTACGTTAAAATCAAAACTTCATGAATTGAGAATTGACAAGCAGATAAAAGATATTCTGGAAACAATTCTTTCAGAGAAGTTCCTTTACCCTTATCATATAACTTGTGGGAACCTCAGCAAAGCATCCACTTGAACACATGCATTGGTTGTTAGCACTTGTGCTCCATTAATAGCTGTTGCAAGACAAAAATCAAACTTTGAGTGAGCTTAAACACAACTTGACCGCTCACCCTAGTGAAAGCATCTCCAAGTAGAAGTTAAGACACTGTAGCAGGGTAGGCTGAACAAAAACCTTAAATAAGCTCTTCCTCTATTTTATGGTTACGTTATAAATGCACAGTACTTGTACTTCTGCTCTCGGGATACTCTCACCAGCACAAACTTCACTTATTTTACATAGAAATTTTCCTATGGCTTCTGTTTACCAGCTGTATATAGACAAATATATACATCATGCTAATAGGTGGAAAAAAAAAGAAGTCTTTAAAGAAAATGCATGAAATGTGTTAAAAGAAAGAAAAACAAATCATGTTCTCACTATTGCCACACATAAAACGTCTTACCTTAATATTTTTGAACTCCTTTTTCCAGGGGTAAAGAAAGAGATTAATTCCAACTGTCTCGAGCATGCTGAATGCATTATGGAGAGAATGTAAACTTGAGGATTTCACAGATCTCAGTGAGTTTTCAGCCATCTCGTAAAATTTTATCAACCGGAATCTATAAAAGGGATCAATTTTGGGAAGGCAAAGTAAGGCTGCCGCTGCCACTCGCAAATACTCATCATTAATAGGACGCTGCTTGTTGTCAGAGGCATTCAGTTTGCACTCATGGAACTGTACATACTTCCGAAATAAATCGTCTTTATATTTTGTATCCATTGAAATCAGTTTTTATCTCACACTTGGGCAGCTACCTTGTCTCTTTCATGGTTATTTGGCAGTAGGTTGATTATCTGGCATTAAGAATCTTCAGTAATGGCAACTCTTCTGGAATAAAAATTGAAAACAAAGACAAGTCATCACAGTTGCATAAATCCCAGATGTCCACAGCATCTATCTGCTTCACAGGATATAAAATGGTTCACAAGAGCAGCAGCTCCCAGAACAGCCTCTTTAGGTTTCTGAAAAAGCGCAAGAGTCTACAGAAATGCTGTTGTCCTGCTTTTCACTGTCATTCTCTACTCCTCTTCCAGTTATTCGCCTAAAACAGCACAACAAACCTACATCAAGCAAGGCACTGAGAGTTTGATACAATAAAGCTGGTGTAGGCTCAAGCCCAGACTGAGGGTTCCTTGGCTTAGGGAACCAAGGCAAAAGTAACTCACAGCAAAAAACTGAAAGGAGAAGCATGAGTTTTTAGGGTCTCTCCATTTTATTTTGCCCTTTCAATTCAAACAACTTACACAAACATTATTTTAATCAGTCACTGTTGTTGTTTTTTTTGCCCTGCGCAGTGATATAAAGATTAAAAAAATCCCACAAAGAAGTTTCATTTTGCTCAACTTGGGAAAGCGTCTACTTTTTTTTTTTCTCTAGTGGCGCAGGACTGCCCATAGACTGAGCAGATTAATTAACTTTGCCTTTCTATTTCTAACATTTTCTAGGCTTTTGACTGCCGCTCATGTTCCACCTGATGGCACACCAGGCCATCACTGCACTGGGAGAGCTCTGCAGCCATCCTACAGAGAACAGATTCCCCTGAAAGCTGTGCAAAGTACAGCCAAAGTTGCAGCTGAATGCTGGCAGCTGCAAAGAAGATTGTAATCCTTTCAGCAAAAAGCTACACCTGCCATTTTTAGCGGCTTTATTAGAACACAGCAAAATCATTCTGTTTTTACATCATGTACATTTTTGTTTGCGGGGATAGCTGCTTTTATATATATACCGATCTACATTTTCACTTCACTGAGCTGACATACTACACAGAAAAAGCTGGTGACAAAAGAACCTTCCTAATGCTACTTTAACCAAAACCAAGGTAATTCACAGGCCAATGGACTCCATCTCGACTGCCCGAGGAACTTGTGATCAAAAAGCAGACCACAAGCTTTGTTTTTTAAATGAAAACGCAATCTAGCCCTTACAGACTTCCCAACTGTGAACCAAAGGGAGAGGAGGTGGGGGAAATCAAGGCACTGTTTCGGTTATAGTCAGCCTGAAATGGCACTTTAGAAAAGACTTGCCACCCAATATTAATTGCAGCTGCTAGAATACTGATCAATGCCTCCACACGCTCCTGTCAAAACGAAAATCACTGTTAAGAACAAAATTAACTGAATGAAAGGAGCCATAACACAAAATACATGGGGGGGACCACAAACCAACAACCAAGAGGCCAGGAAAACAAACAATCAACAGCCTAGCAGTTAATATTACTTGATGAAAGGCTGCACTTAATGACAACACCATGTGGGAAAAGTTAACTAGCAGTTCAATTCCTGCCCAAAGGCACACTGCTCTGGGTCTTTCCACAACCAGAAATTGCACTGATGTCAAGAGACAAGCTGTGAATCACAGGAAAAGTGGAGTTCTAAATTAACATCTGAGCATAAGGGACAGGAGCAAACTCTTCTCTCCCCAGATCTTTCCTCCTTAAGTTGTGCAAGATGAAGTCTGTGGACAAAGACAACAGAATGTCTGTTCCTTAGCAAGAAGAGCTCCATGAGAGAATTTCAGAGAAAGATCTTTGTCTGGCACATCAGTAATACACCTCCAGGACAAGGAATGATCCTATGCTGACAAGGAGCTGGCTTAAGTGTTACAGTTCTTCCACCTCCACTGTTAATAACTACTAGACAAAAGCGCTTGGTTACACGTACGAGACGTCAGGATTAGGAAAGTCTCCAAATGAAAGTCCTTCATCAAGGCCCTACGGACTGTGACACTCAAAGGCACTGCCAGCTCCGATTTTGGCTTGTGGTTTGTACACAAGCCAGAGTTCACACAGCTGAAAGGCAAAACACGACAAACCAAACATGCCAGCAAGCCTTCGCAGAGCTGCTCCTCCACACGCAGAGCTTCCAGCAGCAAAACATCCCCGTCCCAGGCAGCCCACCCAGCGCCAGGCAGGCTCCGAACAGCTAACAACCATGGTTACGAGGCTCGATAAAAACCTCAACATGTGAGCAGGCGCAGATAAATATAGTTTTAAGAAACACTGGCTGACAGACCAGATAAGGTAACAAGGCCGTTCTGCTGCAAATTATTGACTGAAAACCTCAAGATTTCATGGAGATGTGTGACTAGTAAGTTCTGATCCGAGTCTAGCTTCTGCCGGTGAGACAAGAAAACGTTTCTATCCATCTCCTGGGTCAAGACCTCAGCTGAGGGAACCAACCACTCTGCCTGCCCTGGGCTGCCTGCTTGGCGGGGCACAGTCACGCAAAAACCTTTACAGCAACAGGGGAGAAACACAGGGCAGGCACAGCCTTCTCCCAACCCAAGGAGACCAGAAATGCCAGGCTTTCACCAAGCGCTTGAAAAGAAAACTAACCCGAGCACAAAGGCTGCTTAACAGCAGAAGAGCACGCCGCACCGCTGAGGAATTTCAGACCGTAAAACGCGGGAGAAGGAGGGAACGACACACAAATTAACACCCGCTTGAAGCCGTTCCGCTCCCTGGTTCTCACGGAGACACCTGTTGCAGAGGCGCCCGGCCCGGCCGGGAGAGCGGGACGGGGC